ATTTACTGAGCAGAAATCTGTTAGTGTATTTAAGGGGAAAACAACTCTTCATCAACAGTAAAAATGGATTACTTTGCTTCAAAATAAAGCTTTGAATTTCGAATGAGTTTCCTTTCATATACCATGTTTATTCTGAAAGCTCTTACAGGTGAGAACAAATTAATAGGATATTCATGCTAGGTAATCACAAATGTTTTAGAATTTACCCAACATCTGATGAGGGCTTGATATATGCAAGGGATAGCATGAAGAGCCTTGAGAAGTTAAAAAAAAAAAAAAAAAACAATTTAAAAATAAGGCCTCTGCCCTTAAGGATCTTATTTAATAGTGGCAGGAATGCTAACAGATAAATAAATGATTTAAAAAATATGATCAGAACTGGCTTTGGGAGGAAGAGACTTCTGGCTGGAAATCAAGGAAGATTTTATGAAGGAAGTAGACTTTAGGTCCTAGCTCCATGAAGGTAGACCCTGTACCCCTTTTTCTTGGTACCCTGGTTCTTAGCACAGTAACTGGCACATGCTAGATATATAGCTCAATGCTGTTTAAATAAATGAGCAAGTTGAAATTAGATGGTAAGGTGTGAGAAGCAGAAATGAGGGAACATCTCCATCCCATCTCATTAAGCAAATCTCCATTGTCCATTTTCTCCGGGCCAGGCCTTGTGCCAGGCGGGGAGAGCAGCAGGGGTGAGAGCTTGGCTGCGGGACAGCTCGGAGTGCAAAGTCCATCTGGGTGGAGGCATGACTGGGTGTGAGAAGGGAGTGGCAGATAAGGCTGGAAGAGTTGGAGCAGCATTTGAAAGATCTTGAATGCTGAGGAGTTTAAGGAGAAAGATCTCCCAATATGTCATTATTGCCTGTATTTTTACTGGCATTAAGCAGATACAGATTGACAGCTGACCATGTGCATTTTGTTACTATTACAGAAAATTAGTTTGTTAGACTTAATATCAATGTATTCATTTATAAGTGATAATATCATCTTGCAATATGCTAGAACCTGAGGTCGTTACTTGTTTCTATGTGTATCTAAACCAAGTAAGCCGTCTAAAGCAGTAATGCTCATCTGTGAGTTAATTCTAAAATGATACTTGGATATGTCGACCAAATTAATTCTGTTACAAAAGCTAATTTTTAAACATTCAAGGAATTTATGAATCTAGGAATCCCAAAGGATTTTAATCCTAGCTTTTCCTGAAAATAATTGTGGAATTTCAGGGCAAGTTGCTTAATTTATATACTACATATAAATACATATACTGATACAATATTTGTATATCTGTATAGCTCTTTCTCTGTCCGTGGTCTTTGTCATACATCTACATCTAGGTAGCTATCACACTGTATAAGGTGTAGTAGACGGAGTTGAAATTCCAGAGTTTAAACTCTGGAATCGATAATCTGGTTGGAGGCAAGGTAATGTCATTTCCTAGCTGTATGGTGTCTTTAGGAAAATTGCTTGACTTTGAACCTCGATTTTCTCACCTACAAAATGCGAAGACCAATTCCCAGCTCATGATATCTGAGAAAATCATAAGAGCACAAACTTCTTACTGAGCATTTGCTGTGTATTTTCCATGTGGGGAGACTGAGGCACTGAAAGATGAAGTAGTATATCCAGAGCCGCATAGCTACAGAGAGCCAGCTTTCTGACTCCAAGCCTATCTGCTGGCCCACTCTTTTACTATTTTTAATTTTAACTTTTTGAGACAGGGTCTTGCTCTGTTACCCAGGCTCCAGTGTGGTGGTGCAATCATGACCTGCTGCAACCTCTGCCTCCTGGGTGTGATCCTCCTACTTCAGGCTCCCAAGTGAAGTGGTGTCATTGTCTGGGGTAAATACCAAAGGTCTGTCATCTCAGAGCAGGGAAACAGAAAACCCAGACACGCAAGAAGTGAGTTTAAGAGCAGAGGTTTAATAGGCAAAAGAAAGAAAGGAGAATAGCTCTGTCTCCTGCAGAGAGAGGGGAGCATCCAAGTGGGTCTTCAGGTTTCATGGTGAAATGCATGGTTTTTTTTTGTTTTGTTTTGTTTTGGTTTTGAGATGGAGTCTTGCTTTGTCGCCCAGGTGGGAGTACAGTGGCATGATCTTGGGCTCACTGCAACTCCGCCTCCCTGGTTCAAGCAATTCTCCTGCCTCAACCTCCAAAGTAGCTGGGACTACATGTGTGTACCACCATGCTGGCTAATTTTAGTAGAGACAGGGTTTCACCATGTTAGGCTGGTCTCGAACTCCTGACCTCAGGCAATCCGCCCCTCTTGGCCTCCCAAAGTTCTGGGATTGAGAGCGTGATCTCGCGCCCGGCCACAGGTTTAGTATGTGAGCTTGAGGAAATGGTGTGTGATTTACATAGGGCCTGAGAGATTGGTTGGTGCAGGTGTGACATTTGCATACTGTATGAAGAAGCTGGCCATCCCACCCTAATCTTTTATTATGCAGATGGATTCTCTACCTGGCCAGCACCATATTGTCTGTTCTTTACTGTACATGTAGTTGACAAAGAAAGGGGAAGATGGAGCCACCATGTTGAACATGCCTGGCCTTCAGGTGGCCTTTTCCTATTGGCAGAGCTGCTGGCATTTACCATGCAAGCTTCCAGCTTGCTTATCTATGTCTGCAGCTTGATTTTACAGGCTGCTCTTTGTTAGAAAAGAAATGATTTTGGGGCTGCTTTTCGTTAAAAGGAAACCTTACCAAGGACTGTCTTACCCTCACTATCTGCCTAAGTAATTTCTTTCCAGATCCTGTATCACAAGTAACTGGGACTACAGGCATGTGTCACCACACCTGGCTAATTTTTGTATTTTTAGTAGAGATGGGGTCTTGCCATGCTGAGCAGGCTCGTGTCAAACTCCCAATCTCAGCAACCCACCCACCTTGGCCTCCCAAAGGGCTGAGCTTATAGGTGTGAACTACTGTGCCCAGCCTGTTACTGTTTTTAAAGACCTCTCCACAAACCTACATCCTTGGTGATGCTTTATAAAGGGTTGTTTCTTTATCTCCCAGAACATTAGTGAGGCTAAAATGAAATAGCATTTTTACCCTTTAAAGTTCAAATATAAATTATGTAAATGTAGGTTATATAAAATTTTTGGGATGTAAATTTTTAGAGTGGCTAAAATGTTAGTGGATTTTTTTCCGTGCTGGTGATATTAGTGGCATGTGTGTTCCATATAGAAAACCTTAGTTTAACCATTGTGGAAGACAGTGTGGTGATTCCTCAAGGACTTAGAAATAGAAATTCCATTTGACCCAGCAATTCCATTACTGGGTATATATCCAAAGGATTATAAATTGTTCTATTATAAAGACACATGCACACGTATGTTCATTACAGCACTGTTTACAATAGCAAAGACCTGGAACCAACCCAAATGCCCATTGATGATAGACTGGACAGGGAAAATGTGGCACATATACACCATGGAATACTATGCAGCCATAAAAAATGATAAGTTCATGTCCTTTGTAGGGACATGGATGAATCTGGAAACCATCATTCTCAGCAAACTGACATAAGAACGGAAAAGAAAACACTGCATGTTCTCACTTATAGGTGGGTGTTGAACAATGAGAACACATGGACACAGGGAGGGGAGCATCACTGAGGTCTGTTGGGGAGAAATAAGGAAGGGAGAGTGGGAGGTAGGGAGGTTTGGGAGGGATAACATGGGGAGAAATGCCATATATAGGTGACTGGGGGATGGAGGCAACAAACCACACTGCCATGTATGTACCTATGCAACAATCCTGCATGTTCTGCACATGTACCCCAGAACCTAAAGTGCAATAAAATACGTGTATTAAAAAATATAAAATTAAAATATAAAGTAGTAAAAAAAAACCCTTTAAATAATAAAGAATAAGATAATGAAGTAAACCAAGATTATTCATAATCTCTAGAGATAAGAAAGTGATTGGAATTTTAGTGAAATAAATACATTTAAAAAATTTTCTTGACTTTCTTTTTTGGTGGCGGGGTGGGGGGAGCAGTCCAAACTTACGACAGGCAACAACACTGCTTTTTAGGACGTGGAAAATTTATCTCACATCTTAAAATCAATTAGTCATGACATGCCTCAGGGTGAAAGTTATAATCTCTGTGAAATGGGAAGCCTTAAGGAGGAACGGAAAAATAATATTGAACAGGAGAGAATGAGGACAGAGTTCAGATTTTTGTTTGATCTCTTCTGGAATAGTAAGAATTTTCTTAGGTTTATTACATAGGTAATGATAATATCTGGAAGACCAGAAAGGTAGCTGGTGAAGCCTTTGAAGAATTGTGAGCATTCTTGAGTTCTTTTCACTTAAGGAGTCTCATATGTTTGTGGCTTTGAATCAAAATGTTTATATCGAGTTATCCTGGCATTTGCCAAAATATATTTTCTCCATCCATATAATAAGAGTGAAAAGAATACTCTGCTGGCTAGGTGCAGTGGCTCATACCTGTAATCCCAGCACTTTGAGAGGCCAAGGCAGGTGGATCACCTGAGGTCAGGAGTTCAAGACCAGCCTGGCCAACATGGTGAAATCTGTCTCTACTAAAAATACAAAGATTAGCCAGGCATGGTGATGGGCATTTGTAATCCCAGCTACCTGGCTTGAACCCAAGAGGGAGAGGTTGCAGTGGGATGAGATTGCACCACTGCACCCATCCTGGATGACATATCTAGTCTCTGTCTTAAAAAAAACAAACAAAAAAACATGTATTGCCTATTATTTAATATGCTTAAATGAAGAAGATCATAACAGAGCAAAGCATTTGAGAAATGGAATTGCCATGAGCATGTTTTGAGATGTTGGCTTGCATACTACTATGGATGATGTGCATGAAGCTTCTAGAAGACTGGGCTGCTCCATACAGAGAGGAGCCTAGCCTTTTGGGGTATCATTTTACTAGGTTTATAACTGGATATCATACATTGATTCTTACTGATTGGAAAGACGTGATTTTAACAGACTAGTAACTAACCACTTTTATCTCTGGCTTATTCACAGGAATTTGAATAAAGAAAACTATGATACCTCAGGTCCATCTTCACTCCCTGTGTCTTCTCATACTTTATTTGGTAAGAGAAATGGGTGTTCTTCTCTATTTATTTACTAGAATATTTTCTGATACTTTCTACCCCATACCAGGAAAGAATGGCTATCATTACTTTAAAAAAGATGACCTATCAAAATTAAGTTGTTGTATAGAATGGAAACATAGCTTTTTCCACTGAGATATGTTTGATGAAATGGCTACAAATCACATGTCTGCCCTCAACTAGGGAATGTATTTTCTTTCCCGCTCTTAAAAGCCAATACCAGTTACGGGTAAGGCTGAAAACAAATCGATCTGTTTATGTATAGCTCAGGGAATCTGGAATGACATTGCACTGATACATGAATTAGTCTGTGTCCCTTAATCTTGACTTAAAAACAAAAAACAAAAAACAAAACTTTGCCCTTGAAAACTTACCACTGAAACATCAAGAAAAGGATTTTCTCTGTTTTCAGCCCTGCTGTGCTCTGTACTTTTCTTCTCAACAATGGTTTGGAGTTTTCTGGTTGTCTTTAACCGTTTGTTAGCTTAACCCTATTGACTGCCAGCCTTCTAGAGCTTGGAGCTGAATGAAAACTGGGGAGTCCTTCCCTTGACCTCGGGGTAAACAGAAGATGCCTTTTTTTTTTAACCTACATGACTCCTGAGGTTCACAAAAGGTGCCCCAAAAATTGCTGTATTATGAAACAAGATTATAAGATTTAGGAAAAGCATTTGCTTTTTTTTTTTTAAACAGGAAGCTTCTAGATCCTCACAGCTCAAACCTTATTTTCTTTCTTCTAGGACCCATAAATAATACACTAAATTTCGAGTCCCAAAAAGTACCCTAGAGCTCACATAGTTACAGAGTGAAATAGAGTGAAACCTAAAACTATGAGAGCCTTCCTCCCAGGGGAAATCTGCTGTTCAAACCTTATGAGAAGCATGAGTCTTCATAGCCTGGAGGGTCAGAGCCTGTCTCCAGGATTGTATAAGGGCTGGATATCAGACATCCCCAGTTGACCTCTTTCCTCATCCTACCCCCTCAAATGTCCTTCGTCACCTATGTTTATCCCAGGATAGTGATAAAGTCAGACCTGTTTTCAAACTTGGTGCCTCCACTACCAGTAATTGGAATTTAGTGAGTTACCTAAGCTTTGAACCTCAGTTTTCTGTGAAATGCATCTAATAATAGTACTTATCTTATGGGATGTTGTGGCTGTTCAATGAGATACTGCATTTACAAGGCTCTTGGATCAGTGACTGACAGTTAAAGACACAATAAACATTAGCTACTATAATTGCTGCAGCATTTTAAGTGTTTGGTGTCTACATCCATATGGACCCTGACCTCCATGAAGAATGGACTGTGTTTTTGTCACCTTTGCAGATTCAGCACCAAATGCACTTCTAAATTATTTAATAATATCAAATTATGAGGCCTCATTTGCTTCTTGTCTGAGAAGGGAACACGCATTTTTTTATTTCTGGATGAAAGTTGAACATAAGGTTTCCTTCTATCTATTCTCACCCCAGGGGGATTTCTGTCTAGAGTGAAAAATACTGCCCAACCCCTGCTGGCAGTAGCGCCTTCCCCAGGTGACAGTGCAAGCACAACTGTCTCTGGATGAAGTCGGGGAGTGGGATTTCAGGGGTGTTGGGAGGGAGACACTTCTTTTTCCTACCACCTCCCAAGGTCTCTCCTATAAAGACTGGAAGTTTGCGTGAAGAATCTTGCCTTCTGCATAGGGCTTTATTCAACAGAGGCGCTAATTTACTCCATACTGTGAGTAGACCTTCACTTTTCCAAGAGATAGATTTGTCAGAGGGTTGGAAACACAAATGCAGCATAGATGTACTTCAAGGGCACCAAAGACAGAGTAAGTGATCCAGGATTTGGGAAAGGGAACTGAATAGGGAATCGGAGGAAACCAAGGCAGAGCCATCTATTTTGGAGTTTTGCCTGGGACTTCTAGAAGGAAGATGAGTTGGGTGCAAATACTACATAATCATTGCACTGAGCACTTGACGGAGCTAGCAGGTAGCTGAACCTGGCAACTGCACATGTTCTTTGGCCTGGAAGGCAGTGCAGCAATGTGGTCAAGAGTTGGGGCTTGGTGGTCCAATGATGCTGGTTCCCCTCTGCAGGTAGCTCTATCTCTGAATGCTTTGCCCCTATGGTGGGACTCTTCTCTGGAGATACTTTCTTGATAGCATTGGTCAGATGAAATGGTGTTATGTGGTGATCTAGTCCCGTTACTGCCACATAAAAGACACTAAAAGTGACTTTAAAGTGGCAGTTCCATTCTCTTCCTTTCACCTCTTTGTGCAAGATGGTAAATGCTATACCCCCAACTCCTGCATAAAGCCACCCTCTTGTCCTTACACAAGTTTCCACCACACCATCCTTCCCACTTCTGGGGAATGTGGCTTGATGATTCACAGTGTGACGTGCACTTTGAAATCTTTATAGCCCCAATAGCCATGTTAATCGGCAGGAAGAGAGATTTCTTGCTCTGATACAAGCAGGCGACTTTGAACTTTGGAACCGACACATGATTCCCATTTTCTGATGAGTAAGCCAGCTTGTCTTTGTTGGGAAAGTGCAGCTGTGTTTGTGTGTGGCTAATGGAGTTTTCACTGGTGTGACTAACTCAAAGACTGACTGCTTGCTGACATGAGTGCCAAGCTGATGAAGATAGTTTGCTATTAAGCAGTAGCTCCATAGGTAGCACTCCCCTGACTTAACCAACCATGGTGTACCTGACCTCTGTTCTGCACACCGGTTCTTATGCCCTGCCTTCTAGAGGAGTAAATGGAACAGGAAAAGATGTGGAAAAGAAGAGAAAGGAAGCAGAGCTTCCAAAGGAAGATAAACTTAGAAAGGAGGAGATGGTTCCAGGTCTTTGCTATTGTGAACAGTGCTGCAACGAACATTCGTGTGCATGTTATAGTAGAACGATTTATAATCCTTTGGCTATATACCCAGTAATGGGATTGCTGGTTGAAATGGAATTTCTATTTCTGGGTCCTTGAGGAATCACCACACTGTCTTCCACAATGGTTGAACTAATTTACACTCCCACCAACAGTGTGAAAGTGTTCCTATTTCTCCACATCCTCTCCAGCATCTGTTGTCTCCAGATTTTTTTTTTTCTTTTTTTTTTTATTGCATTTTAGGTTTTGGGGTACATGTGATGAACATGCAAGATTGTTGCATAGGTACACACATGGCAGTGTGCTTTGCTGCCTTCCGTCCCCTCACCTGTATCTGTCATTTCTCCCCATGCTGTCTCTTCCCACCTCCCCACCCCCCGCCCCTCCCCCATTTCCCCCAACAGACCCCAGTGTGTAGTGCTCCCCTCCCTGTGTCCATGTGTTCTCATTGTTCAACACCCGCCTATGAGCGAGAATATACGGTGTTTGATTTTCTGCTCTTGTGTCAGTTTGCTGAGAATGATGGTTTCCAGGTTCATCCATGTCCCTATAAAGGACGTGAACTCATCGTTTTTGATGGCTGCATAATATTCCATGGTGTATATGTACCACATTTTCCCTATCCAGTCTATCATCGTTGGGCATTTGGGTTGGTTCCAGGTCTTTGCTATTGTAAACAGTGCTGCAATGAACATTCGTGTGCACGTGTCCTTGTAGTAGAATGATTTATAATCCTTTGGATATATACCCAGTAATGGGATTGCTGGGTCAAATGGGATTTCTATTTTTAGGTCCTTGAGGAATCGCCACACTGTCTTCCACAATGGTTGAATTAATTTACATTCCCACCAACAGTGTAAAAGTGTTCCTATTTCTCCACATCCTCTCCAGCATCTATTGTTTCCCGATTTTTTAATGATCGCCATTCTAACTGGTGTGAGATGTTATCTCAATGTAGTTTTGATTCGCATTTCTCTAATGACCAGTGATGATGAGCATTTTTTACTATGTTTGTTGGCCTCATGTATGTCTTCTTTTGTAAAGTGTCTGTTCATATTCTTCGCCCACTTTTGAATGGGCTAGTTTGTTTTGTTTTTTTCTTGTAAATCTGTTTTAGTTCTTTGTAAATTCTGGATATCAGCCCTTTGTCAGATGGGTAGGCTGCAAAAATTTTTTCCCATTCTGTTGGTTGCCGATTCACTCTAATGACTGTTTCTTTTGCTGTGCAGAAGCTGTGGAGTTTGATTAGGTCCCATTTGTCTATTTTGGCTTTTGTTGCCAATGCTTTTGGTGTTTTGGTCATGAAGTCCTTGCCTATGCCTATGTCCTGAATGGTTTTGCCTAGATTTTCTTCTAGGGTTTTTATGGTGTTAGGTCTTATGTTTAAGTCTTTAATCCATCTGGAGTTAATTTTAGTGTAAGGTGTCAGGAAGGGGTCATCGATGATAGACTGGACAGGGAAAATGTGGCACATATACACCATGGAATATTACGCAGCCATCAAAAATGATGAGTTCGTGTCCTTTGTAGGGACATGGATGAACCTGGAAGCCATCATTCTCAGCAAACTGACATAGGAGCAGAAAATCAGACACTGCATGTTGTTCTCACTCATAGGCGGGTGTTGAACAATGAGAATACATGGACACAGGGAGGGGAGCACTACACACTGGGGTCTGTTGGATGCAAATAAGGGAGGGACAGTGGGGGGTGGGGAGTTGGGGGGGATGGCATGGGGAGAAATGCCAGATATAGGTGAGGGGGAGGAAGGCAGCAAATCACACTGCCACGTGTGTACCTATGCAACAATCTTGCATGTTCTTCACATGTACCCCAAAACCTAAAATGCAATAAAAAAAAAGGAGGAGATGGGCCAGAAGTCTGGCAAAATTACTTTGTGAGTTAAGAATGCATTTTCTTGGCTGAGCATGGCAGCTTATGCCTGTAATACAGCACTTTGGGAGGCCGAGGCAGGTGGATCACCTGAGGTCAGGAGTTGGAGACCAGCCTGGCCAACATGGTGAAACCCTGTCTCTACTAAAAATATAAAAATTAGCCGGGCGTGGTGATGGGCACCTGTAATCCCAGCTACTTGGGAGGCTGAGGTATGAGAATCACTTGGACCTGGGAGGTGGAGGTTGCAGTAATTGCACTCCAGCCTGGGCAACAAGAGCGAAACTCTCAAAAAAAAAAAAAAAAAAAAAAAAAAAAAACCAAAAAAAAACAGGCCGGGCGCGGTGGCTCAAGCCTGTAATCCCAGCACTTTGGGAGGCTGAGGCGGGTGGATCACGAGGTCAAGAGATCGAGACCATCCTGGTCAACATGGTGCAACCCCATCTCTACTAAAAATACAAAAAATTAGCTGGGCATGGTGGCGTGTGCCTGTAATCCCAGGTACTCAGGAGTCTGAGGCAGGAGAATTACCTGAACCCAGGAGGTGGAGGTTGCGGTGAGCCGAGATCGCGCCATTGCACTCCAACCTGGTTAACAAGAGCGAAACTCCGTCTCAAAAAAAAAAAAAAAAAAAAAAAAAGATTTTCCTGCATATAAGAGGAAATCTGAATTTAGAGCATTTTAAATAAATAGGAGTTTATTTTCCTCAGATAACAAGAAGGCTGAAGTAGCAATCCAGGAATCCAGGCAGGTTTAGCAATTCCATGATGTTGTCAGAGACTTGGGCTACTTTCTCTTTGTTGCAGCATTTTTTGAGCTGGTTTGTCCGATCAGGGTTCATTACAGCTGCCCCAACTGCAGACACAAGGTCCATTGTCTCAGCAGGAGCCACAGGAAAAGGGCAATGGCAGCCACAACTGCCTTTTTTTTTAAATTGGGAAAACAGAAGCTTAACCAGTGGACTTCGCCTCTCGTTTCATGAACCACAACTGGGCCACTTGGCCACCTTCCTGGCCACTAGGGAATCTGGGAAAGGACCACTTGGTTTACCAGCCTCTGTGGTGGGAGGCAGCAAAGGAGAGGTCTTGGCAGTGGCCCAGGGGCAGCAAATCTAGGGCCCTACCACAACTCTGAGGACAGAAAACCAAACTTCAAAGCCCCTGTGTTCTCATTCATTATTGCCCTTTCGCCAGATATCCAGCATCCAACTTAGTCAAGATTCCCCAAACTGAGGGGTCTAGCATAAGACCTTTCTCTGATCCTTGCCATATTGATGGGTTTTGGATATTCCCAGCAGGGAGCAGTTTTCATGTCAAGAGTGTACTTGCTCTCCCTAAATAACTGGAAAATAAATGGTTTCCCCTCAACCTAGTGGCACCAGGATGTCCGTCCTGGACTCCCAGTTCATTGGCTTGCCACATTGTGCTTCTGATTTCAATCTCTGTCACCCTGGATTTCCACCATAAATGGGAGACCCAAAGACTTGCCCAGGAAGGAGAGAAGACCAGTTTGGGGATGAGGCACTAAATCCCTTGTCCTAGAGGGTGCTCCAAGGTGGGTTCATGACTGACTGCCCCTTCGTGCAGGTGACCACTCCACCTGCCTTCAGGGGTGCTGTCGTGGTGAGGGCTGCAGTGATGCTCCCCATGTTCTGAGACCAGGAATGGTGGGAGTCACACTCTCATGCTCATCCTCAGGGCAGCCTGCTGGTTTTTCCTCCAGGATGTCTTGGCTGTTTCACATCCTCTGGTGGCTGCTGGTGCGTGGAGGCTGAGAGGGCTGGTTCCAGAGTTGCAGGTTCAAATCCTGCTTCCTGCCATTACCTGGGCAAATAATTTAACCTCTTTGAGTTTCAGTCTCATCACCTGTAAAACAAGGGTAACAATAGTAATTTCCTCCCTGAGGGTTGTTGTCAGGATTAAATGTACTTAGTACAGAGCTCCACGTGTACTAACGTAGCAAGTGTGAGCCAGTTTTCTTACCATCCCAGCCACACTCACTACTACTCCAGTCTTGACTTGGGTGTCTGCAGAGGCTGCTTGGCTCTCAGGTTTAGGGTCTTTTGATTTTAGAACCATTGTGGGGCTGCTGCTTAAAGTAAACATTTTGTTCTTTTATTATTTTTGTTCTAAATGAATGTAAAGAGCTAATTAAATGTTAAAATAGTGAGCTTTGCTTATAGTTCAAATTCAGATTCAAATTTGGCTAAAACTTACTGTGTAACTGTGCCAAGCAAACTTTGTACTAAATAGGTCTATATATTCTTTCTCCTCCTTATAAATTCAAAACTTTAGAGTGCTGGCAATCTGCTGTAAATGTCCTTATAAAATAAAAAGAGTGGGGGGAGGTGTTCTATGAAGCTGGAGTAAAAACATAGAATTTAGAAGACAGTGTGGCACTGTACGAGACCATGAGCTTTAGCTCAGACCTGAATGTGTGTGTGCTGTGTTAACCTTTTTAAATTTCATTTTGAATATGGGGATGTTAATATTCTTCTCATAGGGTGATTCTTCTCATCTCCTATTCTTCTCAGACGTTTAAGAAAATCAATGCAACGGTTTGTAACAAGCTACTTTGTTTGACATGGTAGAGCTTCAGCAGCTATTACACTCACTTCTGTTTTGATCTGATTTCGGTTATGATAGAATTCTATGTTTCATATATTGGTGCTGGAGGCCCTAATAAAATCAACAATGACACAGACAAATTCATACAAGATGCTAATTTTCTTTCTTTTTTTTTTTTAACAGACAACTGGATATAGCCAAGAAGGGAAGTTTAGTGGACCCCTGAAGCCCATGACATTTTCTATTTTTGAAGGTCAAGAACCAAGTCAAATTATATTCCAGGTAAAAGCTACCCTTGATCACTGTCCTCTTGATTTTGTGTGCTCTCTTGATGGACTTTTACTCCCTTATCTATTGTACAGCAGGAAGTAAAATAAAGGCATGGCATTCTCATTATCAAGAATGATTTCAGAAGCTAAGTTAAACAGAGAGATGAGTGGCCTCAGTATCATAAGAATTGTACCTGCCATTCTCATTTGGACTTCCTCAATTATCTCTGGGGTGAGGGCTCCCATCCCTCTGCAGAGAGCTTGGTGCCTGTAGGCTCTGCCTCTCCCCTAGAGTAGAAAGGAAACCTGTCTCTGGAGAGGGGAATGGCCATCCCCTGCTCTGGGTTGTCTGATCAATGAGCTTACTGCTTGAAGTGTTGGAAGATGTGGCTTCTCTGGAGTCAGCGCTGGAATGAGCTTTCTGACCAGAGGACCTGCCTTTTCCTCACTGCCTTCTCTGAGCCCCCACCTGGGCCATTGCCAAGGTGTGCTGGGAGGCAGGTGTCTTGTTTAGTTAGAAAACCATGAACAGTATCAGATGGATGGGTGGTCGGCAGGTGAGAGTACGGCGAGGGTCCTAAGTCCCCTCAGAAGTGCTATTAAGGACACATAAATAATCTTGGAAATGTAGTGGAGAAAGAGAAGAATACTACTGTATTTACCAGACATCCCCCTGGAAGGCCCCTTGGCCCTGAAATGATTGGAGGTTGCTGATGAGCCTCTTTGGGGTGCCCGTGACCCCTCCCCATCCCATGAACCAGGGAAGTGGCAGAGGTTGCTGAGCTACCTTCTAAGGCAGGTGCCTTCCTTTAACTGCCAAACATTTACAGATAGCCCTCTGTATCTCTGGATTCATGTGTCAGCAAATTCAACTGGCAGAATCAAAAATATTTGGGAAAAATAAAAATAATACAAATTTTAAAATAATCATTTACATAGCATTAAATTGTATTATAAATAATCTAGAGATGGTTTAATGTACATGGGAGAATGCATATAGGTTCCATGACCATAATACACTGCTTCATAGAAGGGCCTTCAGCATCTGTAGATTTTGGTATCTGTGTGGGTCCAGGAATGATCCCCCACAGATGCCAAGGGACAAATGCATTGTGCTGGACAGTTCCCCTCCACAGAGGAGAGGCTGAAAGCTGTCTCTCCTCCCCTTTCTTTCATTGGTACCAGTTTAGTGCAAAGGGCCCCAGAGTAAGAGCTGGCAGGGCCACGCATGCATGACTATGCAGCCTGGTGGGGTAGGGTGTTATAAGGGGCCTCGACCTCTCCAGGCAGACAAGTCAGGGCCTGAGGAAGCAGTGACTGCGTTGAGAGTTGAAAGTTGACAGGAATTAACTTGGTGAGGAAGGGAGGGAAGAGAGCTTAGCAAAGGCCCAGCAGGATTGGCTACCCTCTGCCAGGGGAGGGCAGGAGACATACTAAGGACTGGCAGATGGCCATGCAGCTGGGGACGATGGAGCCAGGAGGAGCAGGTGGGAGACACAGAGGAGGAGGCCACAGAGACAGGGAGGACCCTGACTCCTCAGAATCTTGGGTTTTTCTCAAAAGCAACGGACCTGAATCAAGACTCCATGAGAAAAGGTCACTCTGTCTACAAACTAGAGGAGGAAGAGAGAAAGCAAGGAACCTGTTAGGAGACTCTGGCAGGGGTCACACAGAGTTGAGCTGCTTACTTTCTTACACACACTGTCTTTTATTAACCACGTACAGAGTGACTACTGTATCTCCCAGGTGCTCTGCTGGGTACTGGGGATACGGGATGACCCTGACTCTATCCCTGCCCCAGTGAGCTTACCAGCTAGTAAGAGAAAACTAAAAAGGAAACAGACACATGCCCTGCAGGCCTGGTGGGATGTGGAGCGGGCAGAGGGTACGCGAAGAAAGAGTGGCTGATTTTTATTCGTTTGTGTTTACTTTTTAATTGATAACATTGCATATATGTGTACAATGCATTTTGAAGCATATGTAGAGAGAAATGACTAAAGCTAATTAACATATGCATTATCTTATCTCTTTTGTGGTGAGAACACTTAAAATCTAAAAATAATCAGTTTCAAACAAAGATGGTAGTGAGTAAATAGAAGAGGTTTCACTGACTCCTAAACTGAGTATTCGAAGATGAGCAGGTGCTCACAGCCTGGAAGCACCTACTGAGTAAAGGGTGGGAAAAAGCCTGGGGTGTGCACTTGTCAAGAAAATGACAGATGGCGTGTGGCCCAGAGTCTAGGGAGGGAGACAGTATGCAGTCAAAGGTCTGCATGCCTGCTGAGGTCAGCATGGGCTGGACTGGTCCTTTGTCCTATAGCAGGCTGCAGGGTGCTGCTGGAGGGTTTCAACAGGGAAAACCATAGCTAGATACGTGCTGTAGAAGCTTACTGTGTGATCGCTCTGTGCATGAGCTGAAAGGGGGTGAGTGTAGAGGTTAAAAGGATCTTAGAAAACTATTTTCAATTGTAGAGAGCCAGAGTAGCCCACTCCCTCTGGGGGACTCCACAGCAAGGCTGCTGCGAACTTTGGGTGAACTCGAGAAGTGAAACCATAATAGGGAAATGTGTATGTCTCAGAGAAAATCAGAGAGGCCTGGAGAAAGATAACCAGCTCCCACTGACCTTGCTGCAATATCGTTGGTAGCTGAAGCATGTTAAAATGTGAGAATTATACCACAGGCTGTTCTAAGTAACTGCACCCTTCCTCTGCTATGTGCTTTTTAAACATGTAAAATAAAGTACTCTAGGGCAGGTCAGGGCCAAAGAGACTGACACCATCAGCTTTTTGGACCACCTGGCCCAGCTTTATATATGTCTGTCTGTATGTCATTTTTCTTTATCCCCTGCTGTTCCCTCTTAGGTTTTTGAACGCTTGTGCAGCATGGGACGCAGCACACGCCAGATTCAATAGTTCAAAGAGAAGTGATAGAGGCCTGGTTAGAGTAACTGGAGAGGTCTGAATGTTGGTGTCCCCCCAAAGTTCCTATGTTGAAGCCTAATCTCCAGTGTATAAATATGAAGAGTTAGGATCCTTGGTAGGTGATTAGATCATGAGGGCTCTGCCTTTATGAACAGGATTAGTGACCTTATAAAAAAGGCTTGGGGGAGCCTGTTTGCCCCTTCTGGTATGTAAGGACACATGAAAGGTGTAATCTGTGAGGAGTGGGTCCTCACTGAATCTGCTGGTGCCTTGATCTTGGATTTCCCAGCCTTCAGAACTATGAGTGATAAACTTCTGTTGCTCATAGGTTACTGAATAAGCACAGGGGTGAGGGAACAGAAAGTAGGATGACTCTTAGGTCTCTGGCCTTCTTGACTGGGTAGTTAATGGTATTAGTGAGAGAGAAAGAGAGAGTATAGCAAAAGATTTAGAGAAAAGTGAATAAGTTTTAGGCTTATTGATTTTAAGTTATCTGTGAGGCAGCCATGTGGAGATGTCTAGGAGACAGTGTTCATATTGGTCTAGAGATACAGATCGGAGAGCCTTCCTCATATAGGTGCCAATAGTGTTCTTGGGTGTGACAGATTCTTGTCTGTGTTGAGTTACCTCAACTGCCCTTAGGGGCCAGCCGAGTGTTGAATGAAGCCATCTGGAGAAAAGAAAAACAACAGCCAAACAACAACAACAACAACAACAACAACAAAATAACAGATATGAGATAAAAACCTAACTGCACAAATACGATATCAAAAGCTTTCTGATAGTTGATTTTAGTATTTGGGACAAGAGGGAGTAGTGGGGACTGTGGCAAACTGAGAGTAAGTCAAAAGGGGATGGGCTCAATTTAGCTCCAGACAATTTTCACAAGTCAGAATTTGGGTACCACTGTACTAGATTTTATTTTAAAAAGGCATAAGATTTTATATTTATATAAAATTGACTGATGTAAAAAAATTGGCATTTCTTTTTATTACAAGCTAAACAAAACATATTTGTGAAACAAAGTTTGTGGCTCCTTCTGAGAGTTCTGTATGAAAAGACTCAAGGTGAAAATAGAGTAGGTGTTCTGTGGGTGCAGGTCCACTCTCCGTTGAAGGGAACCAGGATTGTTCATAGATGCAACCTTCAACTAACAAGCTTTACAACTGACAAATATCCAGACCTAGAAACTGTTCAGTAGGATCATCCCAGAGTCTCCGGGGATATCAGTCCGTAAAAATCATTTCTTGGGCTGCTCCACGTTTTTGTTTTTGGTTTTTTTTTTTTTTTTTTTTTTTTTTTTTTTTTTTCCCCTGTTAACCATGCTACAAAGTTATCTTTTCTGGCAGAAAATGATAGCCTGGTTATCATGGTTGAATGTTTCTTCTTTATAGGTTTGTGTGTGTGTCTATGTTGGGGTAGGACGTGGGGTTGGGATGAAAGAGTAGTGAGTAGAAGATGAAGGTAATTTTCTTTTTAGAATCACAGAAGCTTCATACTAGAAAAGATACTGGAGAGTTTTGGTACCAACCACTTGTTTTACAAATGGGAAAACTGAGGCTTAAGTTGGTTAATGGCAGAGCCAAGAATAGAACACAGATCTCCTGACTTCTAGTCAAGCACTCTCTGCTCTCTCCATCTTTGTATGTGGAAATAGTGAGCAAACCCAGCCTTGGTAAGATGTGGTTGAAGCTCTTCGTTTTAGTGGTGGGGAAAAGGTAACTGTACAAATCCTCTCATCCAGCAGCTGGACCTACAGAGGTGTAAAGAATATTCATTGACTCATGAGGTTGGTTGTTGGGTTATTAATGTATCCTCAAAAGTAAAATGAAGGGAACAACCATGGACTTCTTTCATTGAGGATTTTCAACTGGTGCCAGCTCTGTATTCACCAGAGGCTTCCAGATCATCAGACAGTGTGATACAAATCTGAGAGAGGTCTTTTCTCATTTTTAATGAGATACAGCTCACAGATCACAAAATTGATGCCTCTAAAATTCACTAGTTTTTAGTATCTTAAAAGATGTGCAACCATCACTGCTAATCTAATTCCAGAATATTTCTATCAGCCTCCAAAGAAATCCCATGCCT